ATTATTTTAATAAACTATTTTTATAGCTACAATGAATGTGTTAAAATGAGTTTAATTAAGCACTAACAGATAAATGTTTTGCTTAATCTTTTTAATTGTATATTATGGTTTTATTTAAAGTTTTTAAAAAAAATTAATGAAGAAAATGGATTATATTGTGTCAATATATAGGCATTTTTTAAAAAATTAAGTCAGTTATATTAGTGTATAAAATGTGATCATTTCCAAAAGTGGATCCCCTTCCCTTCTTTCTGTGTAGTGTAAACTTAAAAGAACTTAACTTTTTTCTACTTGTAAAAAAATATTATAATTTATTCTTTATTCTTTTTAAAAGAAACTGATTGAGAAAAAATAAATTAAGACTAGTAGTTAAAATTTTGATTTAATTTGAATTTTTTTAAAGTTACTATTGCTTGATTCTTATAGTTATTCTGCTTTTGGCTTATTTTGAACATTATATTACTAATATCTTTTTTTTAGTTGATTGTAGTATTTCTTTGAAAATATTTGATAATTTTATTGATATATATTTAAAAATATAACTGTTAAAAAAATAGTATTTGTTTTAAGAATATTACATTTTTCTCTTGATTTTACAAGTATTACTAAAAAGAGAGAGTGTAAAACTTAATAGTGCTGGGGGTCCATAAACAACAATTATCATTTGTAGATAAATTTTTTTGTTAAAATACATTCCTTGTGGTAGATATGAAACAAATATGTAACAAGGAAGAGAAAAACTGGAAAAATTAGTGAAATTTTGGACTTGGATGTAATTTATGCCAATTTTGGTAATCATTGTTTTAAAACTCTGTACAGGAAGTAAATTTAACTTAAAATTTATGTTAAGAAAGAAGAAATTAAAAATATTTTTTCCTTTTCTCAGTATAAGACCATTTTTAAACCAATTGTGAGCTTTAATGAGAACATTTATATTAATAATATTTTAGTACTTTTGTTGCATGTTAATTGGTCTTGTATGAAATATTTTTCTTGTTGACTCTCTTTATTTTCCCTGAAAGAAACAAAACAAAAAAAAAATCAATATTCAGTGATATATATTGTTGTGTAAAGTATTATATTTGAAGAAATCTCAGGTTTTGGCAGGAACTAAAAATTAATGCTCATCACTGTGGCGGTATCTAAATTAGTCAGTAACAGCCTGCGAACAGGATTGATCACTTTTGTCTAGTGGTATGTTATGTGCTTACAAATCCATAGGTCGCAGATTCTAATCTCAGACATTGGTGACCTTGGGTGAAAAGAAAAACGCAAACTTCTGATGTGTCGTGGTGCCATCTACCCACAAAAGAAACAATCAAAAGATGTCAGATCCACTTGATGCAGCAAAAGGTCATCAGACTCACTTCACGCAACAGTAACAACTCACACACTCAGCATAATAACAGATATCTCGTTCTTTCACCTATCCACCTGTGGCCGCGGTAGCCGAGTGGTATAGGTATCGGACTGTGGCTTGCTTTGTCACGGGTTCGAGCCCAGTACCACTAAAGACCCGCCGTGTAGGGCAGCGATGCACGTTAAATCTGTCGAGAGCTGAAACGTCCTCCCGTTGGTGTGGTGTGGTAGTTAGGAGAGGGGGGTGCCAGCTCAGGTGTTGTCCACGTCACTTGACCATGGTTCAAAATTACGTGGTCCGTCGCCAAAAGCCCTCGTGTAGCTGAACAGTGCGACGTTAATATTCAATCAATCAATCACCTATCCACCTACTCACTGGTGGAGGAGTACTGTGGTGTTATCTACATAAGCCAGTAACAGCCTCCGGACAGGAGTGATCACTTTTGTCTATTGGTATGTTACATGCTTACGAATCCATAGGTTGCAGGTTCTAATCTCCGGCAATCACCTTTTAATAAAACACAAATTCTTCAATATATCACTGTCTCTTATCTTCATTTTATACTTTCAATAATTGTTCAGGAAGTGTCTTATATGTAAAATTTATATGGATGGATCAAATAGAGTAATTTATTAAAACCACACACATATTAAAGAATTCTTTCAATGTGTTTTATCCATCCAAATTTGAAATATTTATTTTTTAAAGGACTTTTGAATATAGAATTAAATTTTTCTGACAGGAGAGAGAATATCACATAATTCGATAAAACCAGAGATTGTACTTAAAATAAGTTTTATGTAACATTTAAATGTAAGTGAATGTATTTTTTATTTTAAAGCCATAATAAGCTATTTAAAAAAAAAAGCTGACAAGGAAAACGATCTTGTGGATCATATACATTGCAACAATTACATTTATCCTAAAGAAAAGAAAATTTAAAAATGGAAGCATTTCTTATGTCATTTCTTTTATGTTAAGAGTACATTAAATTTTATTTTAAAGAATGAAAAGAACTTCGATTTCTTATCTAGCTAAATTTAGTCAAATTTTACGAGTAAATAAAAGTAAATTTCTGCAGAATGATAAAAAAACTAGTATATAGATTGTTTCATGTTTAAGAAATCTTAATCACATGAATGTACATTAAGTAAATGAGTCATCCATTCAACAGGACACAAAGCCTTTAAGCTGTTCTAAAAGGGTGTATCCTACTTAAATAACCTTGTTGCCGATTCTCCAGACTGACGGTCAGACGAGATCAGTAAGACTTAAAAATTCGATTTTTAAAAGGTAATCGGTATAGATATCTTTCCATGTGAAATTTATGTAACCCTACATATACTTAGGAAAAGTCTGGTAAACCTAACACTTGGCAAAAGTGGGATACCCCTCGCCTCTGGGGTATCATCTCTTCATCCACGCGACCTAGATTTGTAGGGATAAAAGATTGACCACTCGAACCTTCCATAATAAATCTAGTTTATTATTATCTCATATATTAAGCTATGCAACACAAGTCTTACTTAGAGGGAAACGATCAGGAGTGATATGACGTAATTAACAATTCTTAGCAAATAGCGCATTAAATCCTACTCGCTATCTTTAGGATGAATTAACCTCCGAATCTTTATCTATAGCCGATTCCTTAACTAGCTAGAGTACGCTCTATAATTAAACTTTAATAAGCAAGCTCTTACCGCTATCACATGGCGATCAGCAACCAAGCTTTATATCTTGTCTTCTCTATTCCTTTAATCTTCTCTATATATCTTATGATCCGGCTACTATGCAACTTTCTGGCTTCTAACTGACTTCTATATGGCTCCTATAATACTCTCCGACATCCAGCCGACTTCTTCGCGAATGCAAAAGCTCCAATACTTATAATCATTCCTAATCTCCATATCGCGTTTTCTTCGTGAGAAGTTTGGAATGAAATGCCATTCTGGCCCAGAGATTCCCCAAGAGGATTAATAGAAGGCGCGATAAAGCCCCGTCACAATGGTTGTGAAAATCTTGTCTTCCTAGAACGAGTGACACTTAATGTGACCACTGGCAAGACGAGAGAAAGTGTCGGAACGTCTGTCACATCGAGGGCTGGAGACAGACCGTGTCTATTACCTACATACCAAAGATCCTGACTTAAAGATAATAATTTTCCTGTGGAATAATTGGGACATTGAAGCAGGTCCGCTTTCAGCTTAGGCACACTAAGCACGTGCCTAGATTGCAAAAAAAGAGTAAAAAAAAAAAAAAAATTAAAATCACAGCCAACGTACCACCGCCTAGCGAGTCATGAGGGAAGCATTTCTGTCTTGAAGAGAGTAAAGACTGAAATGAGATCTACAATGGAAAATGAAAAGCTTAGCAGTTCCATGTTGCTATGTAATCAAAATGACATTACCACCAATATTGATTACAATAATGTTATTAATGATTTTACAATGATCAAAGCTCGAAGAAAACTTTTGTCGACCAGTACGATGGCAGTGACTCAACAAGGAGTTAGAATGTCTAAAAGTATGAGATAGTAAAGAATAAGCAATGAAAAAGAGGATAATTAACAAGTTGAAAACAGTTCAGACGATAATGTATACTCTATACTGCAATTGCAAATGATTTCATTAATGTAATGTACTAATTTACAAAAGGGTGGGGTGGGTGGTACGTGATGTTGTTAGGTAAGAAATGAGCAAGAGTTTCCAAACCATGCCTCCATCCTTTCCTTACGTTTGCCAGTCCAGGACAAGGCGGGTCCATAGGTGTTGGATAATGGAAAGACTTTCCAAACAGCAAAAGGAAGAGAGTTACGGGAAAATCCTTCCTATCCAAAACTAGCAAGGTAAGAACTGAAGGAGGGGGGGGGGATGCTCTGGAAATAGTATGTGTGTGTGGGAGGGGGGTAACAATATGAATTGTCTAGGGTGCCAGTGAGGTTAAAAACGACCCTGTATTGAAGTACTTACTATATGTGCCTCTAGTTTCTCATTGAGAAGATATATATAAAATCGGTTCCTGTAAACAAAAACAAAATATGACGATATGACGTTCATTTACTACAATCATAAATCAGTTTCTAAATCTTTGAAAACTTGATTTCACTTTGGTAAACGTTAACAAATATAAAAATGAAATTTCTGGCCCTTTAACAATTCCTTTAATTTATTCATTTATAATTATTTTCATCTTTTATACAATTGAACTTGTGTTTTAAATGTAACGAACAGGAAGGAGATCGATTATAAAATTTAGCATGTAATCCGTGAGATTTTTTTTTTCCCTTTGCCGACGATTCGTTTTGATTTAAACCAAATTTTAATATTTTGTAGTTCTATAAGGTTAAAATAATTGGAATCAACTAGATCAATATTGAGACTGCCGCCGATTTTTGTAAAATATTTTAAGATTTTGTTTTTGAGATTAAAAGTCTATTATATATTATAGGATTACGTTCTTTCTAAATTTTACGAAGCAATCATCCACAATTTAATTTTCTTATTGTGATGAAACAATATTGCTTTCATTAAAGTTTTTTTTTTCAATTTTTGTTTGTGTTAATTGATAGCAAATTATTGTTTCAGGATTGTCTTAATTTTCGAATAAATTACTTTTATTTCGCAACTAATTACATTTATGTGCTTTACTAAGTGCTAGTGCTATGACCCTCGGCTTGTAACCGAGTGGGTTCGGGTTCGAATCCCGAGTAAGACTTGGTTGTATCTTCTTCGGGAAAGAAGTCGGTCTTTCGCCTAAAATAGATTCCCGTCTCGAAAGGAAAAGCAGCGCACCTCTTCTTGTTATATGCTGGGATCATCGTTTGTAATAAAAATCTGTATTCTTCTGTGGTTGTGTTATCTGTTCATCTATCTCACGTCTTTCGTATGTATCCCAGTAATAAAACACACGACAACAACAACTAAGTGCTAGTGTAATATTTTTTGCTTGTTTTTATAATTGTCTTTTGTCAACCATTTGATCATTTACTAAATTCTTTAGATAAAGTTTCCATAGAAACCAAAATAGGAGTGTCATTTTCTTAATTTCCGGTAAAAATTTATCCTATTTCTTAGGAATGTATACAAATACAAAAAAGTCAACTTATATAAAAAAAAGTAAAGCCACATCAGTGTTTAAAGTTTGTCAACTTGGATTTTACCCATTATATTTGCTAAGTATTGGATACTGATCCATGTGATGTAAATTTCTTTGAGTGTTAAACGGTTGCAGATTTTTGCTTTAACTTCCAGTTCAAAAAACGCTACAAAATTGTGCTTATGCATAATTTTAACGGCATTTTAAGGAAATGTTTTTTGTTTCTACATTAGTTATAACAATATTTTGCTGAAGTTAAAAATACAGTAAGAAGACTATACAACCTTCTATCTTTCCCTAAAAAATGCTTTTCTACTTTTTCTTTTGTTGTTAACTCTCTCGTATTGGGGGGAAACAATCTATATTTTTGGCTTTTCGCAGAATTTGAAACGTTTCAGTGATGAACGGGAACGTCTTAAGACTTCTTGAAGCTCTAGACCCCTACACGGAAGTAGGTCGTACCTAATCCTTAAAAGTAGACAGTACGTTGTCAAATACTCGTGCGAACAATAACCAGAAACAAATAAATGTGCATGTCTTACAATCGCACAAACCGGCTCGATCGACTGCCGCCTTTTGACTGCGTATGATGGTGTATGGTGGTACGCTATACGTGGACGACGGTCATCACCAGTAGCCAGTTGACATATCGTCCGAAATTCCCAGTTTGGGGGAGAATACAACCAAAAATAACATTTCGCCGTAGATATTATTCGAATTATGATCTTAAGATTGAGCCGAGGACGAGACAATGCCCCTAGTGGGGGCCTAGGCCCCGGGCCCATGCCTAAAGACGTCTTTGGGGAATGAACGAATTCTTTCTTTAATAAGTTATAGAAATTAAATCGTGCATCTAATATTTGTTTAAATAATTATGCATCTCTGCTTTGTTTTGTAAAGTAATGCAACTATTTTCGAATTTTTGAGAATTTTATTCATTTTGTGTCTGCGTTTCAGTTATGATAATTACGCTGTCAAACGTTTTCTATTAATGTTTTTAGGTACGTATTTCATTGAATGTCGCTCATAATTTCATTTTATTTGAAATAATTAGTGTGTAATTTGTTATTTATTTATCAAAAAATTGTATAAAATTAAAATTTTACTCTAATATGATATTTTAATTTTTTTAAATTGTCAGTCGTTAGTAATAATTTTTTATTCCGTATCTTGATATATTTACTGAATTCAGTGGCGCAACAGCCCATGAGGGCCAAAGCCTACTTTGTCTATCTCAGTTTACGGGACCTTAGGCGCTGGGATGCATGTGCAGATGTTTCGGTCAAGTGGTCATCTTGATTATATTTACATACATAAAATATTACTTTGTATTAAATTTGAATTTTGACACATTTGAATTCAAATAAATTATTTCATTTTACTGTGAAGTCATATCGAATTAGATTTTGGCGAAAAATCGGCGAATATATGATACACAACAAAATTTGAATATCAGATTAAGTTATTCTCTTCAATGGCTCGACAGCCCTGGGTGGGGCCTGACCTTCTCCAGAAGTTTTCTCCTGGCATCTCTACTTTTGGCAACCGTTCTCCAGTTTTTGACCTTTAAAACATTTAGGACTTTTTCGACACAGTCAATCCATCTTAACGGGGTTCTGCTCCTAGATCCATTTCCCATTGGTTTTGCCAGAAAGATTTTCTTGCTGCAACGATCTTCTTTCATTCTAGCCAGATGACCGGCCCATTTAAGTCTCTGCAGTAGCGCACACAAGGGGGGTCTGGACCCCCCCCAAAGCCCTTAATTTTTTTCCGATTGATTATAATTCTAAGTATAGTGTACGTAAAATTTAATCTAGTATTTGAATATTTATTTATTATATAAGTATTAATTAATGCTACTTATTTATTCAATAATTAGTTTTTTACTGTGTTTTGTTCCCGAAAATCGACAAAATCAAAAGGAGCATGATACAAGAATGGGGAACTTGCGACCCCGGACCCCCCCTTGAAAAATTCCTGTGTGCGCTACTGAGTCTCTGTAATTTGAGAAATTTTATATTATGTTTGTAAATTTTGTAGAGTTCTCTAAGTTTAGATCTTCACCGTGATCCATTCATTTGGATCCCACCAAGAATGTAGCATAAGATCTTTCTCTCGAAAATTCCCAAAGCTTCCTCATCACGTAATGTCAATGAAGTTATTCTGTTTATGCACGATTATATTTTTCATGTGAAACGTTTGTACTCTTACTTCATTGTATGGCAAACAATTTCAAATGTTCTTTTTTATTCAATTCCTTTTTGCTTTGTTAAAACATAATTTAAAGTTACTTCTGGTCAGATATTATTATGGGAATTACTCTTTTGCAATTAAAGCAAATGCCACATGTATTAATTTATACATTCATGATTTAATAATTCAGTATTGGTTGTTTTAAACATTTTTTTAAATATTTTTTCAACGAAAAATGTTCAAGTTCCGATCTTTTTCAAGCTAAATGGTTTTTTTGCTTGATGATTCTTTTCTACTTCTGACTTTTTTAAATCTTTGAACAGACTTTGTATATTTTAATTCATAGATATTTATGTTAAATATTGTAATTTTGTTGTTTTACAAAAAAAAAAAAAAAAAAACTAGATTTGAGTTAATTATTTTTGAACAAATCTTTATCTTAAAAATTCGTTTTGGAAACTCGTACTATATTTTTTACTCCTAAAATTTGCGCAACTCTCCGAAACTCAATAAAAATCATGTTTAATGATCCATTTTTCTTATTTTATAGTCCATTAAACTGCCAAAGTAAAACGATTTAATAATATGTAATGTAATTGTCTGTAATCTTGCAATGAATTGTGTAAGTAATAAAAATAAAGACAGTGGAGATAATATGGCGCTGTATTAATTAACGACTTAACCAATCGGGTTTATTCTTTCGAAGAGTGTAAATTTTTGAGGTTATTTAAAGGGGGAAGATAACTTGTGTGAAAATATGTACGATTATGAGATCCTCTAGTAAACTCTTGAGATGTTTGATAGAAATATTGAAGGTTCAATGGATCCGGAAAAGAAAAAAGGTGATTATCGTATGTTTTTTTTATCTATTTGTTTTTGCAAAATGGCAGTGAGATATTCACTTTTCTTAAAATTCTCAAATTATTACGAAAGATTTCTTTCCGTCCTCAGTGGCTCGACAGCCCAGGGTGGGCCTTGGCCTTCTCTAGAAGCCTTTTCCAGACCAACCTTCCTCCTGCTAGTGTTCTCTGATTCTTAGTTCTCAAAACTAGGATATCTTTTTCTGGGCCATCAATCCATCTAAGGTTTGGCCTGCCTCTTGTGCCAATTGGTTGGGCGTTGAAGACTTTTTCAGTGGTCTTCGTCCATTCTGACAACGTGACCTGTCCAATCAATTCGTTTTACTTTAATGAAGTTAACAATGTCAGATTCTTTATATGATTGATAGAACTCGAAATTTAATTCTTCACCACGTTCCTTTTTCCTGAATTCCTCCAAAAATAAATCTTAAAATCTTCTTTTCGTAGATACTTATCATGTTCTCATCTGTTCGAGACATGGATCAAGTTTCACTTGCATTAGTTAATACTGATCTTAAAAGACTTTTATACAATAGAACCTTCGTTTTTCTTTTGATTAAATTCGAGAGAGAGAGAGATTTCATATATTTTCACATTCCATTAAGACATCTATTAGCCATAGTAATTCTCCTTTGGATTTCCGTAGTACAATCGTTTCTATTAATTTCCGAACTAAATAAGTGAAACTATCAACATCGAAATTATATTCTCAATTTTAAAGTGGGAATTGTTAAAACAGGATTTAGTGCAAGTCATGTATTTGGTCGTATTCTCATTGAACGAAAGATTTAAATTATTTAAATTTTCATTTATTTATTAATAATAAATTTATAATATTTTTGGGAATATTTAAAAATCTAATAATGCTGTAATCCAAACTTACTTATGGTCGAGTACTTGTATGGCAGTAAAATTTGACCGTGGTTTTACAATATGAACTCCTGTTTGATATTGAATATTATGCTGCGAGTTTATTCGTCCGTTACCTTCATAGGAAAAATACCACTTTTGTTTTCTTTTTGAAAGAAAGACTTTCCACTCCCCCGCCTTTTTTCTGTTTTCTATGTTCAGTTGATAAACACTTGTGAACTTGCAAGCGATTCAAAGAAATTATTTATTTAACGTACAATTTATTTTTTTATGACAAATAGGTATGTTGTTGTTTCTTATCCCAGAGTGTATCTGAGCTCCACACCACCTCCATAAAACCAAAAATAAAATAGGATTCCTAAAACTTTGTCAACTGTAAAATTTAAGCAATTAAGAATGTAACCGGGTGAGGTCTGATCAGCCTTGCACTCTGGAAAGACTTTCCGGATATGTTAAAATAAATCTGTTTGTCATTAATTTATTAAAAAAAAAATTGAAATTTAATCGATAGATGAAGGAATGGAAGATGAGGAAGTACACAGAAGTCTCCAAAAGTTAAGAAACAAGCTTTTTTTCCGAGTTAGCTTTTAAAGTAATGTAACTGAGAACTCTTCAAGGAAACTAATTCATTTAGTTTTTTTATTCATCAATTTAATATATATTGCATTTAATGATCTTAATTAATGATTTATTATA